GTGGCCGTGGCCGTGGCCGAGGCGGGCGCCGAGTGCGGGGCGCGCGCGGGACGGGGGCCACATTGTTGGCATTCCGCGCGCGCCACGTGACCCGCGCGTCACCGCCCGCGCATTCCAGCGGGGGGAGGGGCCTCGCCCGCCCGGCGGGAAGCGCCGCGAGGGACCGGGCGGACCCGGGGGGGCGCCCCCTTCTTCACCGCCCCCTCCTTGGGGTCACCCAAAACCGTCCATGGGGGTTTCTCCTCCCCCCGCCTTGCCCCGAGCAGCGCGGGGGGAAATGGCGCGGGCAGCTCCGCGCGGCGGCGGGCCGGGAAACGGGGGCTGAGGTTAGCGGGATCCCCCCACACACACACCAGCTCGTTTTAACGGCCAGCTTTAACATGAAAGTTCTCCACGAACAGTATTCCTCAGGGTTTCCTGGCGCTTTTCCACTTTTTAAAAAAGTCTCAAAATGCCTATTTGAGGAGTTTTTTGTTATTACTATTTTTCCTTTCGGGGTGTTGGGGAGAGGGATTTTTTGGGGGGTGTTAATTCCTGTGCAGGTGTTTGCTGGAGGTGTTCGTTTTCGTCGCCGGGAGCGCGAGGCCGCCCCGGCAGCGGCAGCGGGAGGGTCCCGGTCCCGGTCCCGGTCCCGTTCCCGTTCCCGGCCCCGCTCCCAGCGCTCCCTTCGGTCCCCGGCACTGACCGTCAACCCGGGACCGTCCCCTCCCGTTCCCGCCAGCCGCGCCCGGCGCGGGGAGGCTCCCGGCCCCGCAGGGACACGCAACGGGAACGTTAACGCAAATCCAGGGCAGTAAGCAGGGAAATGCGGGGCAGAAGCCCTGAGATGGATCCCGGAGGTTCTCGTGCCAGCCCTGCGGACCTCAGGCGTGGCCGGGGTCCCCGTTTGGGCAGGGACCTTCTAGGAYGTTTCTGTGGGGAACGCTGTTCACCTACCTAAAGTTCTTTCTCTAAGCCTGCTTATCATCTTCTTTCTTTCCCCTTTAATTTCCACCCTGCAAACTGTCAATAAATGAGGCTGGTTTGGGAAGAGAGGGGGATTAATGGTAAGTGGCTGCAAGTAAAGGGCTGTATTTCATGAGAAAAGAAACGCAGCCTGGTGCGCAGGAATTGCTGAGCGTCTCCTCTGAGCTCAGGCACTTACTGTATATAAATTCCTGTCGGAATTTCAGTAGTGTCATTGACTGGAATTTGTTGCAGGGGGAGGAGGAAGGAAATCTCCAGCTCCGGGGAGCTAAGGAAAGCCACTGGGTTCAGAGCGGATTCCAACGCTGACGCTGTTGCAAGGTAAAGGCGCCTTTTGCAATCTGCAAATACCGGCAAAACTGAAGTAATTTTTAAATGATGCGACAGATGCAGCGTGGCTTCATTTTCTGAATTGCTGCTATGCCTCAGCCATGMAGCACAGCAACGTGGTTGCCCAAACTCGGGATTGCTCAATGGCTTGAGACCTTTTCCCAATAAATATTGTTCRGGCTTAAAGGAACAGCATCGAAATAAAAAATCCTTTCTGTGTGCTAACATGTCCCTTCTTAAGATGTGGCTGTCGTCTGCATTATTAAATCTAAGTAAAATAGATATTTTATTTTTCTCCTTCTAGGCTCTGTGTTTTCGTTTTGCATACCAGTCCATGTGGAAATGAAACTCAGCTGGACTATTTCCCCGCTCCGGATGCAGCCGAGTGCMCTTTCTGCTTGCCACGTGTTTTCCAAGAGACCAGCACAGACCAGCAGCCTCTCRCACTGTTTGTACCTTTAGCCTTGAGAAGCCCAATCTCTTTAGGAATCATCTTCCCCAAGAACTAAAGGAATGAGATTCAGCTTCTCCATTAAAACATGATCTGATTAAGTATGTGGAGACTGCTGTGTATCATTCCAGTCTTTCTTCCAACTGTGTTGGAAGCGATGCTTCCCGAGACGCTGCCGGGAGGAAAGATGCTGCATGAAGGGAGTAACGCTGCCCTGCTGCACAAGCGAGGCCCTTTGCAGACTAGCCCGGGGGATGCTCCCAGGACTCCGTGGGATCTGTGAGGATTCCAGCATTCAGCTCTTGCCCTGCTGTGCGGGTTTCACCCACTGCCACCCACCCGAGACATCAGGGAAGCAGGAGCTTCCCTGCCCTCCCGCCTGCTCCCGGAGGAGCTCCGTGCCCTCCCCGCACACCAGCACCTGGGCCACGGTGYGACTCTGAACTATTATGTTTGGGAGCAATTACCAAGTCGTGCTGCTAAAAATACTCCCAGCAACCAAATAATTGCGGTGTGGGTGGATGAGGTTTTTCTTTACACAGTATTGGAAGCCAATAAAGTGCTTTGAACCCATTCAGAAAACTGCAGAACAGAAAGGTCAAGTAAGAATATCCCTCATAACCCCTAATTCTCTGCCTTTTCCAAAGAGGAAAC